TACCCCAACAATCTGACTTCATAATCCCTCTACCCCAACAATCTGACCTCATAATCCTTCTACCTCCAACACATCTGACCTCATAATCCCTGTACCCCAACACATCTGACCTCATAATCCCTGTACCCCAACACATCTGACCTCATAATCCCTCTACTCCCAACAATCTGATCTCATATTCCCTGTACCCCAACAATCTGATCTCATAATCCCTGTACCCCAACAATCTGCCCTTATAATCCCTCTACTCCCAACAGTCTGATCTCATAATTACTTCCCGTTGTTTGTTTGTTTTCCAGGAAAAACCTAGAATTTATCTCCTCCCTAACTTGGTAGAACCCAGATGCTGTTGGCTCTGCCCAATTACTGTGGCTAAGATTTCAACTCACCTTTGTGAATTAAATTAGATAAAAAAGAAAACAGACCCATAGGATGTAAAAGATTGAAGTAACATATTGCTCAATGTATATAAAATCTAAAGAATGAACAATAAAAAAAATGAGACATTAAAAGTGCTAGCAGGAATAATGTTAATGACTGTATACCAACTGTTTAAAATAGGTTTTCTAAAAAAATATTACTTACAAAAACTTCTGGAGAAATTACAAGTCTGAATCGTCCCATAATTATGAGAAACTGAATCTTCCCACAAAACTAGCAACAGGCCCAGAAGATTTGCTCAGCAATTTATTATTTTTTTCTTCCAAAATTCTAAGAAATAGATTATTCCATTCTGATGCAACCTTTTAATTACAGAAAAAAGGAACAATTTATACACAGTTCTGAGAGCCCAACTCCAACCTGATCTCAGTCAGATGAAGATACCATAAGAGAGGGGGCTAGCCCAGCTCCAGCCTGATCTCAGTCAGGTGGTGATGCCGTGAGAGAGGGGGCTAGCCCAGCTCCAGCCTGATCTCAGTCAGGTGGTGATGCTGTGAGAGAGGGGGCTAGCCCAGCTCCAGCCTGATCTCAGTCAGGTGGTGATGCTGTGAGAGAGGGGACGATGGAGTTCCTTCCTGCTTCTGTGTAGTCTAGAGAGTCCAGCTCAGCCTGACGACATCTCAGTCTGATGCAGATACTGTGTGTGTGTGTGTGTGTGTGTGTGTGTGTGTGTGTGTGTGTGTAGGTGGGGCAGGGGCTGCAGTTGCTTCCCAGTTAAGTGCAGTCCAAAGGTCTTGGACAGTTCATTAGCAAATGAAGAGAACAGTCTCATTACCAGGTGGTTTATCCCAGGTGTGTCAGAACGTGTCATTCCATGACCCCAGACTCCTGAGCAACAGAAGGTTGCGAGAATTGTGTGACCATCTCACTCCATAGGCAGTGTGAATTCCTGATGATGATGTTCAGCAAATCACAGGAGGGAGAGGCCCCCTTTATCCTGTTAGGAGCCAGACTGTCGTCAGCATACTCGTCCCGACATGGGGAAATGGTAGAGGAGTCTCTGTAACCAGGAATGTAAACCCGACTTAATGTGTGGTATAAACGGCATTCATTCATTACCATGGATTCCAAGGGCAGGGAGTTGGCTGTCAAAAATGGTGTTCAGTCTCTCTCTCCCTTTATTTTAGTTCCTCAGCTGGGATGATTGGATCGCTGGAAGTTGAGTGGCAGGTGGGTGGGAATCACCTGAAATTATGTTCATTCATGTCTTGAGAGCTGATGCCAGTGGTTGGCAGTCAGTGGGAAAGCCACCCATGACTTCACCAGGGGTCTCTACATGGGCTCCTGTGCCCTCTCTGCACCCAAACACATGCCAGAGGACACTGTATTCCCCTACGTGGTAGTGCTTGACTGTCTTCCAGCTGTTTAGGGAGGTCCCATGTTCCCGGGGTCAGGAGAGAGGACCATGCTGACGTGCATGTGTAGAAGGACATATGTGTTAGTCTTCAGCAAGTAAGACCTGTCACGTGGCATCATGCGTGTAGTGCAGCAGTGGATAGCATGACCTGTGCACAGGGACAAGAGGAACAGAACCTGAGGAGTGGGAACTGCAACAGAGGAAGCAAGCTTGCTGTTTGGAGAAAAAATAATCAACTGGCATATAAAATTAGCATAAAAATATACAGATAAATTATTACAAACTAGAGCATACCAAGGAAAGATAGATGTAAGACATAGTTAGACCGGGGCATTGACATTCAACAGCAGCACTAGACTTGTAGAGCATCAGGGTTAACTGTCACAGGAGATGGACAAGAGTTCCGTAAGGAAAACAACAAACTTCACTGATAAGCTATGTGTACTTTAGTGACATGTGCCAGAATTCGGGCAGGACTGCTTTGTGTTGTACGGATGTCATTCCATCAGAATAATTCTGCAGCTAGAAATAGACACTCATATTCATAGATCTGTTTGCTCCAAAATAAATCATAGGTGAAAGTGTCTGTCCTGCAAGCTGCTCCCAAGTAACCACTCAGAGTTTCTTATTAATTATAAATGCTCAGTCAATAGCTCAGGCTTATTACTAACTAGTTCCTTTTGTCTTTTCTTTCTTTTTTTTTTTTGCATAGGGACCATGCTAATCTTCTTTGTTCCAATTTTAGTATATGTGCTGCCGAAGCGAGCACTACTAACTAGCTCTTGTTAATCCGTGTGTTGCCCTGAGCTTTTGGCATTTACATCTCTGGCATGCCGTGCTTCCTCTCTGGCTGGCTGGCGATTCTTCTTACTCACTTCTTCTCCTTCCCAGAATTCTCCTAGTCTGACTCTCCTGCCCAGCTATAGGCCAGTCAGCTCTTTATTAACCAGTGAGAGTAATTTGTACATCATTTTCCAGTTGGGCAGTGATTGCCTTAGGCGCTCTTGCCCATGGTCAGCAGAAGGTCTTCTGAGACATCAGGAGCCCACACGTCTTCTCTAAAGGGTCTTTCTCTGTTAGGCTTCCTGGTTGTCTCCTTTTGAGCAGCACTGATGTCAGAGATGTAGTTTGTATGTGAATATTTGCAATGTGGGAACTTGTAGCAGAGGAACATAAAAAAAAATCAGTTTCTTCACTGATAAAATGCTTTCATTGAGTAAAAGGCATTTACTTACCACTTTAGTTTCTAAAAGAAACAAACCTGCTTTGACTTTTTTGCTGAGCCTTTTGATGGAAATGCTAGGTAGATTGGATCATAACATTTTGCTTTTCTGCCCATAATTTAAAGTTGTACAAGGTGTTTGCCCGTGAGGCAGCCTCCGTCTTCCCTGCTTCCTTGAGCTGCCATGGTTCCCAGGGCCAGGTGCTTAGACAGGTGTATCCAAACTCCGTACTTATCATGGCTGTGTCTTGATCTGTCCATTGCAGCCTCCCCACGCTCCGCTCACTCTCTCTACTCTCCGTGGTGACTTTGGGGCCGTTGGCCACTCAGTGTCTAGGCATTGCAGTTAATGTGTTACTCAGTTCATTTCTCTTGTCCGGAATGTTGGTTTCTGTTTTCAGCTCACTAACACTTAACTTCGTAATGCAACCCTGAACTTCCCTGCCATGTTGAAAGCTCCCCTCCTGATGGGAAGCCATATGAGATGCTCTGCTAATTTCTTCTGCTTGCCCTGCTTCCCAGGAGCGTTCTGACTGGCTTTAGATGTTCCCGATATGGAGGCAATTTGAGGCAGTTTACCAGCCTCAGTCTGAGAGATGGTTTTTCCCAATCTCATGTTCTCTTTCTTGTCTTACACTCTTGGTTTCCACGATTGGTTTTTGTCTTTCTGTGTCACTGGGGAGTGAACCCAGAACCCAGTGCCTTGTGCATTCGAGGCAGGGTGTGGATATGACTTTCTTCTTTCCCGAGCTCAGTGAGTTATTGGTGTGACTGGTTACAGGATTCTGTGTGGTACATGGTTTTCCCTCTGAGTTTTAAAAACCCCTCACTGCTGCCTTCTGCCTTCCTGAAGCCTGCCTCATGCTCCCAAGGCCGTGGGATGCTCTGTGCATTGTGCAGAGTTCTGGTGTTTTGGTTTTTTTTTCTTGTTTTCTCACTTCCACTGTAGTTTTATAAAGGAAAATTTTCTTGAATTATTTTGCTGCTGTCTTCGTAGTTCTGTGTTCATTATAGAATTCCCAGTGATTAGATATAGCATGGCCTGGACTGAAAGGTTTTTATGTTTTACTCATTTTCCATTTTTCTCTTATGTGCTTCATTTTAAGGGAGTCTCCCTTTATTTTCCATTTCACAGTTCTTCATTTCTACCATCATAATTTAAATTTCCAAGACCTTCCAGTCTCAGTTCCTCCTTTCCGCTCTCCTTTCTTCCCTCGCACACTTCGGAGGCCCCGTTCTCGTGTCCCTGGTGTCATTCCTTCTGCCTCACTCCTGTTGACAGCTCTCAGAGGATACGGTGTGTGCTCGAGAACCTGCTCGCTCTTCCGCCATTTGTCTGTGGTTGTCTGGTCTCTGTGTCCATGTTGTTGCTCCCATCTCCGGTTGTCCTTGATGGAGGCACTGAGAGTGAGTGTGTAAAATCTTAGGGATGGGCTCCTATTCCAACTCTCTCTTTCTGTTTTAGCTTATTCAGTCTCTTCAGTGACCCCTGTAGTGACAAGAATATTGAAGTTACATGTCCACTGTAACATAGTGCTTGTCGGCCCTGGGATGTGAACCTCAGCAGCGAGACACCATCCTTGCTTCCTTTCAGTGTTTCTGCTGGTCTGTCCTTCGTGGAAGTCAGGAGCTAAGGGTTTCTCTAGGTCTGATAAACTCTGGTAAATGTCTGGGTAGTGTTCGTCAGCAGCTCTCGCTCTCCTGACCACGCCCTCCAGTGCAGCAGGTGGTGGGGTAAACCTGTGTCCTGCTGGGGGAGGAGCTGCAAGTGACTGGCTCTCTGGATTTTGAGAGGGGATTGAGGTGCAGCCTGACTCTGGTTGGATTTTGAGTCTCCCCTGTAAGCAGCTGCTAGTTGCCCATTCTTGAGCCTTCTGTGGCCAGCATGAGGGAAATGGAGCTGGGCCTCCTCTCCTCACGGGTGCCAGTGCCTCTTCCCACCGCTGCTGTGGGTACCAGTGCCTCTTCCCACCGCTGCTGTGGGTGCCAGTGTCTCTTCCTCACCGCAGCTTCACGGGTGCCAGCGCCTCTTCCCCACAGCTGCTTCCCGGGTGCCAATGCCTCTTGTCATTTATCTTATTTGTCTTTAAACCTTGTTTGTATTGAGGAGAAAACACGAGCATTTTAATGTAACTTTTTTTTTTGTCATTTTAAAGAAGATTTTTCAGCGGAAACTTGGATAAAATGTAATTTTTAAATGTTCTATTTAAAATCTCTGTCCAGTCCATTTTGTCTTAAGGGTCCCCTGATATAGTCTCAGCTAGATAGATCCTCTCTGAAGTCATCTCCCCCATCCTGGGCCATTTTCATTGTTTATAGTGCCTTTCCTTGGACCTGTGCCTTCTTCCACCACGCCAGCTTCTCAGAGACCTCGGCTGACATCTGTGTGGTGGCTCCAAAGGGCGTGTTATGCCGTCCGTGTATGTGTTTTACTTTCTGCTCTGTTTTTCTCAAGCCATTCTTTGAAAGTACCATCAGTCTAATAAATACTGAGGATGACAGAATGGAGAATTAAATAAAGCAACAGGCAACGTTAATTTGCATATAGTGAGTTCTGAGATTGTTGAACCTAGATATTATAAAGACCTTTAGTCTTGGTCCCTGAACTAACTATCGTAGCTTTGAATTAGAGTCTCATCACTCAGTGACTTAGGTGTCCTTTGGTGCTGGGATATCTTGGGGCTCATTGCTGTTCTAATGGCAATAACACAAAAATAGCAGAAATGCTTTACAAAGCCTTATCACTGTATGCATAGATAGAACTGAGGCTTGTGACAGAATCCACAAAGAACCTCTACTATTTCCTCCCTAGAAATTATTTCTTAAGCCAGGTGGTGGTGGCACACACCTTTACTTCCAGCACTTGAGAGTCAGAGGCAGGAGGATCTCTGAGTTCGAGGTCAGCCTGGTCTACAAGAGCTAGTTCCAGAACAGGCTCTAAAGCTACAGAGAAGCGCTATCTCAACCCCAACCCTCCTCCCCCCAAAAATTACTTTTTAATCACTAATTTTTGAGCCAGGCTCTCTTGCTGAAGCCAGAGCTGGACAATTGAGGCGATTCTGGTGGCCACCTCGCTCCAGGGTTCCCTGTCTCTGCCTCCCAAGTGCTGAGATTACAGAAGGACTTTCACATCTGCTTAGTTTTTCTGTGAATTCTAGGGACCTAAACCACGGTGCATATACATGTGAGGCAAATGCCTTACCTACTTAGCTGTTTCTCTGACCCCTGTAAAATTGAGTTTTTAAAGCCAGTGCTATTGAGGTCAGACATGGTGGCTCACACCTTTAATCCCAGCTCTCAGGAGGCAGAGGCAGGCAGAGCTCTGTGAATTTGAAGACAGCCTGGTCTACAAAGCAAGTTCCAGGCCAGTTAGGGCTACATAGTGAGACTCTGTTTCTAAAAGACACACACACACACACACACACACACACACACACACACACACACAAAATCAGCAGCAAAAAGCATCTGTTATCTTCCTTCTTTTACATATTCAAAAGGAAACTGTCATAGGGTTTGAATCTAAATTATTTGGAGAAAGGTTATGACTTTAAAATAGTGTCTCTGTAGCACCGTATCTTAAGCTATCTAGGACATATTTATTTACTTATAAATAAAATACGTGACTACTTTTTTGATGATATCGAAGAGGAACGCTGTCTTGTCTCATCCGGTATGTAGGAGTTGCTGGTAAGTGGTCACCATTCTGCTGTTTTGTACAGCTCAATCAGAATTTAGGAATCTGCCCCCTTACCACAGGCGAACACGCTGGATGCTTGTGTTGTTGGCTCCCTGGCACCCTTCCCATCCCGTGTCAGGATGTGCCTTGTGAAAACACAAGAACATTAACTCCGAGTACTCCAGTCTTTAGAAATGAGCACCCGAGTGCAGTGTTCACAGATGCTAAGGGGAGTTTGTGTTTGGCTCCGGAGGTTGTGGTACCCACGTGAAGGGGCGGCTGTGGTGTTTGCAGCTTAACTGTTAATTATTAGGGTGCCTGTCGTTTTCTCCCGTAGTTTCTTCTCCTCAGTAGAGACACGATTAATGCGACGTCGTTTCAGACTAACCGCCATCGACAGTTCTTAGAAGTCTGGTTTATATTTTCTAGGTGCTGCCTATAGACGGTTAGCTTGACTTTGGTGTCGGTCGGTGAGGCTGCGAGCCCACGGTGGCAGCATAGCTGTCCCCACTGTCTCAGCAGTTCCAGGAACCCAGTGCCATTTATAAAACTGTCTTATTTCCGTCCACGAACATTCTTTATACTTTCTACTTTTGTGAAATGAATTTGCTTGGCCTAGTGAAAACAATCTGTGATTAGCATATTTCTTTGTTGTGACTTTTTTAAGTGGGTGGAGTTTTCTTGATGGAGTTGTTGGTAAGTGTTTCTCAAGAAGCCCAGCATGGATGGAGCCAAAGCCTGCTGGGCTTCCCATGGTTCTTAAAGTCTGCCTCCTTCCTGCTGTGCGCCAGAGCCTAGGTGCTAAGCCCTGACCCTTGACCCCTCTGTAATGTATTGAGGAAGAAGCACAGCAGAGGCTCTATCTACT